GGAAGAGCGCCTACTTACATGGTTTCCATGGTTACCATGACAACTTCCTGTGGAACAATTTGCTCAACCTGCTCGAACGCCCCCCTGTGTTTTGTTCGGGTAACACCTGCTCCTGTTACACAACCTCCGTAAATTCTTGTCATCTCACTCGCTTGGTTTCTGGGTCTGTCTTCAAATCTGGGGATAAAATTACGATCAAATAAGGAATGTTACATAACTTTGCATTCGGCAGACCTTCAATTATTGTTGTTTAGCAATTACACAACAACATATACACTTACCTTAGCATGTTGCTAAAACACGTATCAAGGAACCCGGCCTTGCGTTCACAGGAAGACGTGTTTGTACAGAGAACTGCTGCCACTATATATGGGCGCCAGAGTGAAAGTTAGAAAAATTCAGCGCTTCGTCTCCGAGTAAATGGAGCACAACGACCTGATCTGAGTCTCCGTCACCTTTTAACCCAGTAACCCTACTCAATGCCACACAACAACAATGGCGGACACTCAGCGCCATGCTTGAGAAGCTAACTCTGCTATTTGGTGTGCTACAGTTAGCCACTTCCGTTCCTTTTCGTCGTTCTTTCAAACGTTTGCTTACAGTTTGCCAACTTTCCCCATTTCAAATCCTTCCCGTCTTAGTATCGTTATGCCCCAGTGACGGAAAAGACAATTACATCGGTGCTTTTTAATACTTTCCTGTCTGTTACTCTTTCAATCTCAGCTCCTATGACGTCACGCTCGTTTTTCCCGCTCTTACACTCTACTCGCTCTCGCCTCCTTCACAAACAATTCATCACATGACAGAAATGCTTTTCGGTCAATACTAACTAGTGATGGGAAGACCGACTCTTTTAATTGATTCGAATCTTTGACTCTCGAACAGTAAAATGAACGAGTCGTGAACGAATCTTGAACTAATCTTTTCATTCGTTTTACAGCAGGTGGCGCTTTAGCCCTATTGTGGGCGTTGTAAAGAAGGCTGCGGTTCTCCGACACTAAATAAGGCAACATGGTTTGCTTCCGCTGACAAAGTCTACAAAGTACACAAAATGCCATAAGTAATTAAAACCATGTGAAAAGCTAAGAAATAAAAACACACCACAATGTGAAGATGAATGAGAGCAAAA